TTAATTTTAATTACAGCCACAAAGGTATGTTATAAATAATCTGTACACATATACGTCATATGCGATAAAAACTATTATTGGCGGACTTTATCTACATAACAATGAATGTTGTGTAGGTAATAGACCTCAGTGGTCTAGAGGTTTACCACACCACTGTATTTCTGATTATCGCGGGTTCGATTTCTAACACTGTACAAAGATTTATCTTCATGCGTATGATTGTTTGTATTGGTCTGGGTGATTTCTATGTATATTATGTATGGATTAGACATGTATATAAGAGTATGTATCAGTTGCCTAGTACCCGTAACACAAGCTTTAGCTAGCTTATCTTGGGAATGGATGCTGTGTGAATTGTCCTGAGATATCTAGACACGCGGTAGCGTGTCAAGCCGAGTTTCAAGTAAGAGAACTGGCGAACAGCACCGTGTGTATATTTACACGAACCATTTGGAGCCACTTTTGATCCACTCATAACTCAAAAACTCTTTCACATAAACCTGTCAAATTTGGTTCATATATTGAGACTTGCGAGATAAATATGTGTTCCAAATTTCATAAACATACTTGTATCTCAAACGGTTATTTAGATATTAACGTCCAAATATCGTCATTTTTATCACTGATCAACTATAGATCAAAATTATAACCCACTTCCAGATGACCTAGGAAGTTCAAATTTGGCATGCAGATAGGTAATTAGGTGAATATAAAGGAAAAAATGAAACTGGTAAATTGTTATAATTTTATTATAATTGTAATATAATAATAATAATAATAATAATACTTTAATTGATTTTATTTCATCTTATATTAGATTACTAAAATTCTATGAAAACGTCGATAGCCACCAATTAACTTTGATCCATCCTGGCTACCAGGTAGCTCATCTTGTACTGGACGGTAAGTAATATTGTATGAAAACGTCGATCATTACCAATTTACGTTAACCCCTTCACATCAGTGTCGATAACTAGCAAACTTCAAATATTGCATTGAGCGGTAAACACTAGTTGCTATAATTTTGATTCTGTCTAGAATATACTCGTACTTATAACTAAGAGTATAGTCGAATTTCGTATTTATTATGTTATTAACTGAGATTTGGTATTAATTATTGTTGCAATATTTAGCGTACATCGATACTCAAACATTTAAAAGTTACAAGAAAATAACACAAAAAAAGACAATTATACCCCGTAAACATACGAAAACACAGTAGTTTATCAAAAATAATTTGGTATTAATTTAGTTATAAATAAGTACCTCGTATAATTTACGTACAAAAAGTAATGATATCCCATCAAAAACATAAATGTGAAATGATAGCCGAGTTTAATATTATGATATATGCCTTGATTGTTGACTTCTACGGCAAAAGAGGTGAGATCTAAATGGGTGTCAAGTTCAATGGTCTGACCTGAAATGTATTTATAACAATATATAATATCATTTCTTCTTATAACTTAGGCTAATATACTGTAGCCTAAGGTCTAACTTGGCTAGTTTTCATATACGAAATATACTGTAGCCTTCGCAAGTTCTAAACATGTTACTTGTCGGTTCCTATTTTATTATTAGTAGTAACTAGCAATCGAAAGTAATAATTGGTATATGAGAACTGGCCAAGTTAGACCTTAGGCTACAGTATATTATACTAAGTTATAACTTATAAGTTAGTATTGTAGGAGTAACCTAAAGTCGGTTTTTTTTTAATATAATATATTTACTTAATCAAAGTATGTATCATTGCGATTTATGCACTTTTGCCATCTCATAGGTAGTTCATTGATCCCTTTACTAAAAAAATCATCGGACGGGAATCAATAAAATCTTTGAAAGTACTTTGGACTGTTCCATCGGAATTGAATTTTTTGCCATGCAAGAAATTATCCAAATTAAAAAAAAAATGATAATCTGTTGTGGATGTCTTAGACATTCGAATTGAAGCTCTTGTAATTTGGTAACTGTCTGTTGCGCAGTGTGTGGGCTAACGTTGTCCTGAAGCAGCAGTAGCCTAGGGCGATTGACCAGCCTCGGTTGTTTAGCAGCTAGCTTTTGCATTATAGTTTGCAATTGCTGACAATACACATCATAATAATAGCCTTAATAGTCTGGTCCATATCTAACAAAGCCGAAATGAACAACACCGGCACTAGTCCACCAAATGCTCACAAATAACTTTTTTTGAGTCAATTTTCGCTTGGAGCAGGATTCGGCTGGTTCGCTAGGATTCCAAACGCTCACAAATAACTTTTTTTGAGTCAATTTTCGCTTGGAGCAGGATTCGGCTGGTTCGCTAGGATTCCAAACGCTCACAAATAACTTTTTTTGAGTCAATTTTCGCTTGGAGCAGGATTCGGCTGGTTCGCTAGGATTCCAAACGCTCACAAATAACTTTTTTTGAGTCAATTTTCGCTTGGAGCAAAATTCGGCTGGTTCGCTAGTATTCCAAACGCTCACAAATAACTTTTTTTGAGTCAATTTTCGCTTGGAGCAGGATTCGGCTGGTTCGCTAGGATTCCAAACGCTCACAAATAACTTTTTTTGAGTCAATTTTCGCTTGGAGCAGGATTCGGCTGGTTCGCTAGGATTCCAAACGCTCACAAATAACTTTTTTTGAGTCAATTTTCGCTTGGAGCAGGATTCGGCTGGTTCGCTAGGATTCCAAACGCTCACAAATAACTTTTTTGAGTCAATTTTCGCTTGGAGCAGGATTCGGCTGGTTCGCTAGGATTCCAAACGCTCACAAATAACTTTTTTTGAGTCAATTTTCGCTTGGAGCAGGATTCGGCTGGTTCGCTAGGATTCCAAACGCTCACAAATAACTTTTTTTGAGTCAATTTTCGCAGGATTCGGCTGGTTTGCCAACATTCAGCCAATTTTTTTTACTTGAACACTAATCAATATCATACAGATTAAAGGTGACAGATAAAATTGATAAGATTTATTATCGCATGGTCCTCCAAAGGTAATGCGTCTCTAATATATATAAACTAACTGTACCCGCGACTTTATCCGCATAAAATAGTGACCAACCAACCTTGAAATACCTTGACCAACTAATAAAAGAATTTTTCGTAATCTAACCCAATAAAAAAGTTTCATCGTTAATTATGTTCATATTAGTTTCAAAAATGAAAACTTTCATATAGAATTCTATGCAACTCTATCAACATAAGCCTAAAAATAAGTAGCAAGCTTCTAGATTTGGTATCAATTTAAAATTAACAGTTTAACTTTTCAAATGGTACCATTTTTATTATTCCTAACTAGTTATTAATTACTAAAGATCGCGCGGAATCAATTCCAAGTAAGTGATTCCATACTTTTGCTGGCGAATGTAGTTAGACAGAACCATCTCGTGTTGCTTTCCTTTCTAGTTCCTAGTTAGATTTCCAATTTTGCACCCCAAAACCTCTGGACCCCAAAGACTGAATCGCAGCAATCTTATTGGAAAAAAATAGTAGATAGCTCATGTTAGAAATATAAATTATATAGAATAGGTAATAATTTTAAAACTTTAAGTATACTTCCACATTTTGATTTTGATGGCAAATCCTAATTCCGTCGCGTCCTTATGGCAACACGTAGGAATATGCACGTGTACATGATGGCTGAATGCCCGAAGAACCCAGTGGATACATCAGAGTGGTGACATATTACAGTAATATTGAAATCCGCAGTATTAACTTCATTATTCTGAAATTAACTTAATTTTTCTAAAATAAAAGTAGCCCTAAGTTACTCTTTATTACATCAGCTACCTGCCAAAAAAAATCCCGTCAAAATCGGTCCAGCCATTTCAGAGATTAGCCGGAACAAAGAGACAGACAGACAAAAATGGTAAAAAATGTTATTTTGGTGTATGTACCGTATTTATATTCATATATGCATGTAGTAAAGAACGGTTATTTCAATATTACAAACAGACGCTCATTGTTAGTATTATTAGATTATTTTCTCTAGGTTTTATTCTTGGATATTATGGTTACTGAAGGTTTTATTAGAAGGAGGAAAATACGATATCGATGATTGAACTATTGAAGTGACATTTTTCAATAGTTTATGATGATATGTTATGACCCGTAAATCTCTATGGAGGCTTTAGTAAGGAAGTAGAATATTGTAATAGTTGTGGAAGTTTTCATCAGGAGGAGAGAGAGGCTCAGATCGATGAATCTCTGATGAAGTCACATTTTCCATAAGTTGAGGATGACCGGGTCATAGTAATGAAGGTTTTAGACGACGATCCCTGTGGAGATTTCTACAATCAATAGGGACTTCAGTTTAGATGATATCTACATATATGGTTATCTAGGTCTCACACCATAACCTTTATTAAATGTGCGTTGTATGTGTGGTGTATCAATATAGAGATATGTTACTACCCTGGACATATGGCATTATATAGGTAAAGGTTTAGGACACATCACATTTATTATATAACACAAATTATTACACTGCACAAATATGTATAATTATATATAATAGATGAATTAACCCCTACTGAATATTATTTATATTAACCATCTGAAGCAGTAGCAATGCTGTTCAATATGACTCCCTTTTAGATATAGAGATATATTTTGCTTTCCGTAAGTAGTGGAATTAACAAATTATAAAATAGAATTATCATATTGAAGTTATACAAATGCAGTTATTAAAATACATCACATTGAGATTAGGCTTGAATACTAAGGGCATAACCTAACGTTTCTGTTGAGAATATTCTACTTGAATAGTATTAATAATTAGGGTTGTAATATATTACGTTAATTAATAGTTTAGTAAAGTACGTTTAGTAAAATAAAGTAAAATTTCACGCGAACGAAGTCGCCGGTACAGCTAGTTTAATATAAATCGGTTCCGTAGTTTTGGCGTGAAAGCGAGACAGACAAGTTACTTTCGCATTTATAATATTAGTAAGGATGTACAAATAAAGCATTATTATTTTCTATAAATTATAAAAATATTTCTATTTGTTCAAGGATGATGATATGGAATCTTTTCTACATGCATTTGAGGAAACATCAGCGTCATCGCCATTAGAAAATAAATCTGTACGAATAAGTGCAATACCTAGTCCTACAAAAATAATATCGGAACAACACAGTCCGGTGGGTAGAAATGTTTCAAAAACTCCAGAGAAACGCACTTCCGATGAAAAACCTGGAAGTTTAAAATTGGATACGTCGTTGAAAGATTTTTTATTCAATATATCGAACAATCCTGCTGTAAAGAAAACAAATGAGGTGTGTTTATTTATTATTATTACTGTTTTTTTTTTATTTATGACGGCCTTGGTGCTCTGGCATAGCTAGTTATGTAGGTATATATTTACAAACAAAATATTTAAGTATTTTTATAAGTTATCTATCATAACACACGCTCTACTTAGCTTGGGATTAAATTGCGCTTTGGGAATTGTCTTGAGTTATTATTTATATATATTATACTTGTTATTCATAACATTCCAGAGGTAGACTTTATGGACAGTCCTCTACGTCATAGAGTCATATACCCACTCTAAATCACCCCGTTGTGATTTGCTTGAAAGTTGATATAAGTCTGAAATTACAGGGTACGGAAGTAATCTTCCGGTGATATCGATGATGATGATGATATTATCATCCATCACCCTCTAAGTATTTAGGCGATGCTTTCTTTTTGTGGATGAGAATGGAATGGGGCACCCGCCTGCGCTAACGGTTTCCGCTGGCGGGGCACCAGTGGAGGATGATAAGATGAGCATGAGGTCAGGTCAGTAGCCCATCGTGACACATTCATCAAGGATATATAGTTCCAAACCCCAGGAGAACGCGTGGAGGTCAACATTAGTACCAATCTCCTTTCCTCTCTTTTAGGCGTTGGTTGCCACTCCTTGCTCCAGCACCTTGTTTGCCATTCCAGTTACTTAAAAAAACCTTGTAAAGTATCAAAATTAAATAACTTTTTATGGAAAAAATCGTTGGCGAATACTCGCTTTGTTGGATGATTGCCTAGACTAGTGGGTTAGCACATCGATGGGTACGGTACCTATTGATATTTATGTTGTCGGAATATTTATTTATTATTATTATTTATTAGGTATTGTATTTTTTTTTCACAGAATAAAAGCTTACAAGATATAGAGGAATGCAAGACTCTTTACATAGAAATATTAGAAAAAGTTTTTTATGCCTTTGACAGAATACCAAAGAAAACAAAAGAAGCATTACCTGGATATAATAGTAGCATATATTCACAGCTTACATTATGGAGAAATACATTGAAATCAGCAATAAAACAGACAACTAGTAAAAACACAAGTCCACACCAACAAACCACCAGAATGCCAAATCACCAAAGTGACCAAATCACTAAAGCTGATTTATTAAACGAAGATTATGACTTGAAAGATTTTATGACAAAAACTGGTCTGATTTCTAATGTAAAATCTGTCGAGGTAGAACGAACACAAGCAGACAGATGTACTTTTAGTTATGATATTGGACCTAGCAGTTCAGCATTATCAGTCAAATCGGGGAATAAACCGAAGCTTTTTGGTCTTTCTAATCCGGTAATAAATTTAGATGCAACTACTGAGTCTGATGCCGACAACTTGGACACATCCTCAAATGTTAAAGGAAAGGGTAAATTTGTATTCAAGAGACCATCGCGAATTATCACTGAGGAGTCTAATAACAAATCAATAGAAAGTTCCATAATTTCAAGTACTGCCGAAAGAGCAAAGAATGCATTAGAAACTTTAAAGCCTTTAGTAGAAGGAGAGCCAAAAGTGTTGCCAGTACCAAATAGTTCTGTAAACTATCAGCCTCCTCAATTAAGTAGAAGCTCCTTACTTTCTACCAATACCATTGTAAATGAACCACTCAATGATGTTGATTCCCTATTGGATGAAGAGGAAACGGATGTATACTCAGTACCAGGTGATATAGATGTTGATGTTGAATTTACAGATGTATCAACCGATTCTATTGTTATTGAAAGTGATCATAGTGAAGTTGCGGAAGTTGTAAACAATAAAGAGACACCAGTAGATGAGAACATTTGTCCAGAATACACGATGGAAGATTTTGAAGATGGCAACATGGATTCAGATAGCAAAAAATCAGAGGTAAAGGTTTTGATGAAGACATCATTAGGGGAAAAGGATAATAAACCCAAATATGAGGGAATGGGCGACTTCATTGAAGACACTAAAAATGATGGTATCACAGGTAAATAAACAATGCATTGTGACATAATACTAATATCATAATGAGAGAGATTTTTTTTGAGGAGGGAACTCTGGAACCACTGTATCATTTAAGAAATTGAAATTAACTTATTCATGAGTGTCTTAACCTATATACTAGGTGTAATTATATCTTTCTAGACATCAGTTGATTCATATATATATGATTTGTTTAGCATACACTTTCACTACTTCTTGATTTAACGTATTGAATAGAATAGAATAGAATAAATAAAAAGTCATTTATTCAAATAAACTTAATTTAAGGACTTTCGAATAATCAAAATTTTTTTTTAATCTACCGCTTATGCGGAAAGCTGTCTCATTACAACAAGAATAAGCAAGAAACTTGTGTGTTGCCCTTTTAAACAATTCTTGTAAGTTCACATTTTTCAAGTCGAAACGTATGAATACAAACTACCAACCAGCACTAATTTACTTAGGCTCAAATATAAAAACACAATAAGATTAAATCAGTCGTAGTGATAAGAACAGACCAGTTCCTACAAGCAGCACTCGTTCACGAGTATGACGGATGAGCCAGCCATCACTGCGCTCGACCATATTTTAGGGAGCCCAATGACCCGGCCCACCACGTCGCCACTTGTCTGGACATTTTAGTGAGCATGATTCATTCCACTTGACCTCGTCATAGCTACTTAAATTTATTATATTACAGTATTCTCACTTTACATAAGGACGTATGCGGCAATCAATACAAAAGCCGCTACGCTATCATATTTCAAGAAAGCAGTATGAAAAAAAAATATAACGTTGTCCGCAAATAAACTTATTCTTGCTAGATATTACTGTCATCTATCTATCCTATAATAGGCTTTTTTACATAACATGTGTTTAATATAAATTTTGAATTGCCTCTCTGTTAGATTTATAGTAGATTCTGGCAGTTTATTATAAAATCTTACGCAATTACCATAGAATGAATTACTAACTTTGTGTAGACGGCATTTAGGTAAAATTAGCTTATTTTTATTGCGTAAGTTTCTACTTGTACAGTCTTTAAGTTTTTTGAAACTATTTAAGTTTTTCCTTGTATACATAATATTTTCATAAATATACTGTGAGGCAACGGTGAGGATATTTGATTCTTTAAAGCATTGACATAATGACTCTCTCGAGCCCATACCATAAATAGAACGTATAGCTCTCTTATGTGAAATAAATATAGTATTTACATCGGCAGCTTTATGCCATGTGACATGATGCTATGGAAATAACTAAAATATATAAGTTTTGCCGTTGCCAAGTCTGTTAATTGTCTTATTCTTCAACTTGCATAAGCAGCAGAACTGAATCTACTAATTTTGAAATATGGGGCCCCCAGTTGTATCTTCGAGTCCATTGTTATTCTTAAAAAAACTGTGACATTCACAAAATTTATTATTTCATCATTAAGCAATACCTGCGTATTTATTTGTCTTACATTAGGAAGCGTGAATTTAATATTAGGTTCATACATGTGAACCAATTTAGCAGAGATAGCATAATTGACATCGTCTAATTGATTACTTTGGCGACCAATTTTAAACATTAACGAAGTATCATCCGTAAATTACACTATATCTGCAACTTTCTCTACTATTTAGGGAAGGTCCTTTATATAAATTAAGAAGAGAAATGAGCCTAAGATTGTTCCCTTAGACTTTACACCATCAATATCTACAGTTTGCACCCTATCCTCTAGATAAGTTTTCATTAGATTTAGTTCATTATCTCTAATACCATAATGTTCGAGCTTGTACAAAAGTGTTTTATGGTCTACGCAATCAAACGCCTTCGATAGGACACAAAAAACGTAAGCATCCTATGACTTCACCCATGATTTAAATATATGTGTAATAAGCGCTACATCTGCAACAGTAGTAGACTTGCCGGCGGTGAAACCATATTTCTGACTGTGAAGCAGTCCATTATCCCTGAAGTATTTTAACATTGGGTTAAACATAATCCTCTCAAATACTTTACTTAGAACTGGCCTAGCTCAAATCTATCTTCTGATTTAAACAGTAGAATTAATTTGCTAAATTTCATTAGTTGAGGAAAAACGCCATTGTCAACATATTTATTGAAAGTAGTAGCTGGATAAGGAGCAACAATATCTATGAATGAACTAATTACTTTAATTGACATGCCCCAGAGATCTTCCGTATTTTTAAAATATAACTTTTGAATACTTTTATTATATGAAAAGGGCTGACATGTGAAAATTTAAATGTTAAAGAGCAAGGGCCGACATTAGCCTCTAGTAATGTTTTTGCTCAAATTGGAGATGAGTCTAGAGAAGATGTAATGTCAATCGGAATATTAGCAAAAAAATCTTGGAAAATATGAACTATATCTTTTTTTCTTGCTGCTGTTATTAACTTATTGTCTTAATTTAATGAGAATTGATTTATAATTCCCCAGATTGTCTTAATTTTGTCAGAAGACTGATTAATTTGTTTATTTATATAATTAGATTTAGCTGCAATACAAACTTATTTGAAAATTTTAGAATTTCTCACAAGTCGTAAATTTGTCATCAAATCTATATTTTTTTTTGATCATATAAATCAAATAAAATGTTTCTACTTTTAAGTATTCCAATTGTTGCCCATTCTGTAAAATTAGATTTAACACAATATTCTTTATTCTTGAAAATATTCTGGTATTCTTTTGACAAAAGACTAATTAACTTGGTGTAAAGAATATCAGGATTACTGAGACTGATAGATCGTAACTGTAAGTCTAATGTATATTTAACCGTGCTTTTGTATTTATTAATATTGTAAGCATTTATTTGTCTTTTTGATCTTTTGTTATTAGTATTTTTATTAACCTTAACAACTTAACCACAGTGATCTGAAGGAAATTTATTTATTATTAATTTTTCAATATACTCGCAGTTACAAAAAACATTGTCAAGACAAGTAGCAGTCGTAGCGGTTACACGAGCGGGTTCCTGAAAGACATTATTCAAATGAAATACTGAAAGAATGAAATAAACTAGTAATTATTGTACATGTGGGCGTATCACAAAGAATATCAATGTTAAAATCTCCAAAACAATTTTTTTTACTGCTATTAAATACTTTTTTTTTATATATCCTCCATCACCTCTTCAAATAGAATATATCTATATATATCTATCCCTATTCCTATGAATAGGAATAGGAATAGGGATAGGGATAGGGATAGAGATAGGGATAGTGATAGGAATAGGGATAGGGATAGGGATAGAGATAGGGATAGTGATAGTGATAGGAATAGGAATAGAAATAAATAATCTTTATTCATATAAACTTAGTATAAGCACTTTTGAATACTCAAGTTTTATTATTCTACCGCTCATTCGGAATGCAGACTCATCACAAGAAGAATGAGCAAGAAACTTGTGTATTGCTCTTTTAAATTATAATTTGCAACAAGGATTTGGCATGCGACAATCAACATAGAAATCGCTACGCACTTAATCTCTATTCAATCAGATAACATTGTCAGCGCTATCATTTTAAGTTAGATATTTTCTACAAAAACATTATTATCATTTATAAATTCTTTAATTTTATAATAAGCTTTTTTACAAAGAAAATATTTTATAACACATTTGAATTTTTTTCTGGAAAATAAAGTACAGACTCTGGGAGTTTGTTGTACAACGTTACGCAATTTCCATAAAACGAATTACTAACTTTCGTCAAACAGCACTTAGGTAAAACTAGTTTGTTGACTTTACGTAAGCTTTTATTAGTGTAAAGTGAACAGTTTTAAAAAAGTAGGTGACTTTTTTAAAACTGTTAATATTTTACATAATGTTTTCGTAGATGTATTGAGAAGCAACGGTGAGGATATTTGATTCTTTAAAACATTCACGCAAAGACTCCCTCCAGGGAACTCTTGTCACGGTTAGCGTGTGTCCTAATAATAATATTTTTTTAATAAAATAAGTCTACACATACATCTATAATAATCATTATATATACATATATATACAACAACAAATGCAAACAATTTTATTCAACCTCAATTTAAAATTATAAATTAATTAACATACTATTATTACGACTTTGTTATTAGTTTAAATGCCGAAAATCTGTTTCAATTTAACTTACTGCATCATAATAAAACGCAACTTCGTAAACGTAATGCAAACCGACAATTAAATCTCAAGATCTACCCACGGAGAAGGAACATTACGTACGGTCGAGCGAGTTGACGTTCGCACAGCTACATTTTATATCATATTGATAAATCCTAAGTTCTTTTCTAAAATCATATTTTAAAACAAACTAATTATAATTTGTTTGTGATTACATCCCCATAATTGGGTAAGTTGTGCACTTATCGTATTTATTAGTTTAAGTAGTAGTTGTAAGTAGAAATGCATATTGCTTTGCTTTGCTTTGTCATTTTCTTGTAATATTTTCTTGTCATTCACATCATCCGTTAAATCTTTATTACACCACGATATAATTTCTAAATATTGATTTATTATAATATTCCATTGTAATGGTTATTGAGATAATACTAGTATCATTACCTACTTTAGCTAGAAATCATTGTTAGTACCTAGTAAGTATTATAAAATTAGATTTAAGTAACCGTCCTTCTGCTTTTGTTATAAACCTTGACTGCCTCATCAAGATATCTAGATATGTTGGTCGTTTACATCACGCTTTGCCTTACCCCGCTGTTTGGGATCACAGTAGATGTTGCAGTCAGGGTGAAGAATTGGACATTTTAGTAATTGTCTGTTTAATGGTAATTTCCAGGGAATTTAGTTCTGGATTTGGAACATAGCAAGATATTCCAAATATATCGTTGGACAATCGCGTGTGCATAATAACACCGTACTGCTATTACTACCGCTACACCTGCCGTCACGTCGTTTGCACTTCATCTCTGCTCCAGTTACCCTCAACTCATAAGGACGGTATCGTGATTAAACGTTCCAACTACAGAGTGACCTTTAGATTCAGAACC